TCGTCTTTGGTTTTGGAATTGTACGTGTTTGAACTTTTCAGTTGACGCTATGGTAAAAAGATAATGATCTTGTAATGGTTAGAGTTTGGGTAAGGGTTAGGGTGAAGGAAGATCCTAAAAAGCATAAGTTTGGTATCATTCAAAAGGGTATGACACAAGTATTACAGAACAGCAATTCGTTATGGACACTGCACGAAAAGTGGGATTTACCACCAAGGTAAATGTGATGTAAAGCCGGGTAAAGGTTACATTTACCAGTGATTTACCAACATTTACCCGTCGGTAAATCTGCAAATTTACCCGGTATTTACCCGCATGGTATAGGTGGTAATGTTTGCCTTATTTACCCACATTTACCGGTTTCGTGTAAATACGTATTTAGCGAGATTTACCGTATGCGGTATTTCCCACATATATTTACCGAGATTTACCATATGGGGTATTTTTCACATGCATTTCAGGCATTTACCGAGATTTACCATATGGGGTATTTCTCATTTCAGGTATTTACCGAGATTTACCGAGCATGGTATTTCTGACATTTAGTTGAATTTACCCGTATTTACGCGTACATGCCCTTACCAGAACGACGTGCCATATTTACCCCCTTTACCCATATTTCCTTATGTTGTATCACTCCCCTGAATTACATACAAGCACAGGAAATGGGTTCTGGGCAGAACTCAGAAATATTTATTTAAAAAGCACAGAATTTAAACATAAATTGGCAGTTACCTTTTTTAAAAGGTATGCAAATAAGCATTACATACAAGTAAGTAAAAGTTTTGCATACAAGTTATACACTTTTTTCTTATATAATGTTCAAATGATCAATGACCACCTGTGTTGTACTAACAACACACAGTGACATATACATACACATGCAACAGAATAATAATAAATACAAGTAGCATTTCTCATGAACACACAGAATATCAGCAGACACAATCTAAATATATTATTAATATTATCATTCTGTACTAACACACATACTTTGAGAAACTATACACTTGGTTTAACATGTACCAGGAAAAGTTGTCACATGTTCTATGGAAAATCCATACCAACTTGTCGTGTATATCCTGTATGATAAAACTATTCAAAGAAACACTAACATAACAATGAAATTACAAAACTGGCTTGTGATATATGGGTTGACATTCAGTGTCAGTGTCAGTGTCAATATCAGTGACTTTTTTCGGACACAATGTAAAATGTATCATTGTCATCATATTAAATCACTGGAGATTGGAACTGGAATACATTTACAGTACATATTCTGGTAAGGCTAATATAGTAATAAGACCTTAATAGCTTGTGTCTAATCGTCTGACAACCATCAGACACAAAAACAAATCTAAATGTTTGTCAAAATAAGGTTTATAAAATACAGTAACCTATGGTCTCTATCAATACTGACCACCTGCGGCACATGGCACACCACAATGTTAACTTTTGGGAAATACTATGTTGTAGAACTGCTCATGTATAAACAATCCTATCCACATCTGACTCCACTGCTGCCATGCACCCTGGGTAAGGCTGTCTGTTCTGTGTTTGCATGTTGGATGTCTTGGTGTTGATTTGGAGTCCTTCTTCGGAGTCAGTTCCTGTATGATTGAACAAAAGTATCATTAAACATTGATTCACATCACTGAGAAACATGTCACATGATTACGGTGCAACTTACAAAAGCACTAACTTACTTCAAGATAGCATTTACAAACATATACAATCTAAACCAAACATCATCAGTAGATCATGTTTAGTTACACAATTTTAGGTGCAGGTACTCAGCTTTAAATTAGGTCCAGGTCCAGACATGTACTTGAACTCCGTGTTCACATAATGGTTGAACTTTAATTAAGACAATGACACGTGTACTACCGGAAGGTTCTTTTAGGTCTAATTATTTCCATTCCCGGCATATTAGCGGTCCAGAAGTTTGGACTTGTACCTAACCAATTTTACTTTCTGTGCTGGATTTTACAGACACACAGCACTAATCATCAACTAATCATCAACATTGGCACCCTTCAGCTCAGGTACAGGTTCAGACCTGACCATGATATTTGTTTAGGAACACATTATTACTAAAGTGTGGTGATACTGAGGAATATACAGGGCTGTAGTCCTACCTAAGGAGTCTGTAGCAGCAGTCAGGTACTCGAAGACTCAGAACTTCTGGCAGTTGCGTGCCTTTCATCTAGACTGTCCTTACAACTTTTGCTGCATCTACCGTAGTAGTACATCCTGGAGGTATATAAAAGGGAAATAAATTACACAGGTGACAAAATGTATCACATTATTTACATTTGTCAGAAAACTAACCTGAGGCATCCGCAATATACAATATGTAACATATAACTTCTAAATTTCTACCAAATATATTGTACATGTACATGTCTTGACGCAGGGTTGGACAAGTCCCATTGCCCACTTGCCCAGGGCAAGTAAAAGTACTGTTCGGGCAAGTGAATATCCCCCTGTACTTGCCAAGTATTGGACAAGTAAATTTTTTGGATGCAAAGTATAGCCGCTATGGTGTTTGGAACAAAATTACTCATCATTTTGCCAAATTGGTATTATATTAATGTCCTTTTGTCAGAAAATCCATTGCAAGTCTCAAACCACCTTATTTTGATAAATAAAGTATGCAGCATTATAAACTCTAAAATAAGATGCTGGTAGTAAAAATGCATAAAAATGTCATGTATAGTTTGGGCAAGTGAAAAGTTGGTTCGGGCAAGTGAAAATGACTCTGTACTTGCCCGATAGGGCAAGAAGATTTTTGAAAACTTGTCCAACCCTGTTGACGAATCAGCTGTAACTAAATACAATAATCACTTTGCATTGGGGGTTTTTAATAAACAATACTGGTTCTTTTTTATCTATTTATTTATTGATCTTATTCTACTTCTAGTTCACTAGCCAGTAGCCACAAATTATCATAGGACAAATATTTCACATTTTGTCACAGCTCTTTTTATCAATACACAGAAGTCTTACTGTACAGAAATGCCAACTGATCGGTGGGAAGTAGTAGTACAAGACAAAAACCTTGTAATAAATATTATTATACTATATATAACGTTACTATCTATAATGAGGGAGGGGCTAGGGGGCCGGGGAAGTTAGTTGGAGACATTCTATTGTTTCTAGCGAAGACATCAAGAACAACAAGACATGAAAGGTAACTGAATCTACTTTTGTTTTTTAATAATCATTTTCTGAAATGTACTTTTGCACTTACCGGAGGCAAAGGCTGTTCATAATGCTTTGTTGTTTTGCTGCGAGCCCAGCCGGTGGACAAGGGGGAGGGGGGCGACGAAAGTTGCTAACGTCACTATTCGAAATTTGCGAGCGTTTGAACCGAGATCACATCTCCCCTCGACTCCCCAGCCTCTCCAAAATTGATTTTCGATCATGGTAGACTCCGTTGGTGCCATTACCGCGCAGAATTAGCGATTTAAACGCCTGTTTTCAGTACAATCTCCTCTCTTTGTCGACCCTAACGGTTTTGTCCTGACCGCCAACACAGTACGCATGCCTACGCTCGCTGGCCAATGAGAGCTAGGGCATTGGAACCGTGCCCGGATGTTGACCTAGATATCTCGCCTAATCTCCAAGCAGATCCCAGGGTGGCATAAGACAGTATCAAATTTATAATGTAGCTAGCCTCTCAATATCCATTGGCTAGAGAGGGTCCACTACGGCGTATCTGACCTCACATTTGCTAATGATCCAGGTAGGATCACTTGTTAATTTCCAGAAACAAGTTAAAGAAAAATACTACATTCAAGTTTAACATTTTCTAGTGAATTCAGCCACATTATATTGTACTTGCAAGTACTTGAGAAGCTTTACAAAAGTGATGTCTAAAGCTAAAGAGATGAAGATATATATTACTTTATTGGCATTAGTGTAAAACTAGGCTTTCCTCATTGCACTTTATAATTTTTGTCACTTAAGATGTTGCTTTATATGTCTTATATGAAAGTAAAAGCTGTTAATCTTCATAAAATGTCATCATTGTTATTATAAATTATGAAATGTGTATGTGGCTTTTATCCCAGGTCTGTATGTCAGCCCCCAAATATTACATGAAGAGCTTATCCGGGGCTATTATACCTGTCTATATGGAAGCCCCGGATAAGAGCTTATCCGGGGCTTTTATCCCAGGTAATTATTTGGGGCTTCCATATTTACCTGGTAAATATGTAAGCCCCAAATAAGAGCTTATCCGGGGCTTTTATACCAGGTAAATATGGAAGCCCCGAATAAGAGCTTATCCGGGGCTTTTATACCAGGTAAATATGGAAGCCCCGAATAAGAGCTTATCGTGGGGCTTGTATACCAGGTCTATATGGAAGCCCCGAATAAGAGCTTATCCGGGGCTTCTATACCAGGTCTATATGGAAGCCCCGAATAAGAGCTTATCCGGGGGCTTCTATACCAGGTCTATATGGAACGCCCCGAATAAGAGCTTATCCGGGGGCTTCTATACC